ATCCGCACTTCCGGTGAACTTCATTTCAGCACAATTTGTATTTTCAGGAAATAAAAAACCTCTAAACTTCCGTTAAAAAGGAGGAAGGGCCTCAAAAGAAAAGAAGAAAAGGAAAAAAAGGTTTTTTAAAAAAGTACAATTCTTACACTTTCTTGTACGGAAGAAGGACATTAAGAATATAATTAAATAGAAGTCTTTTCACTTTCCCTATGTAGAAAGACACTTGCTTTGTACCACATTCTAACAGCCTCCAGGATAATGCTAATAAATTATAGTTGATTAATGGCATTCAATTAAGATTATGGTTTATTTAATTCTCACATGAAGCTTCCTGGAAAACAACATGTAGATTGTGCAATAGATGACTAATTAAAGGATTTAAGAACAATGTATTAAAATAGTTTATTATCACCAAGACAAGACACGCAAAAATAATCAGTTTTTACAGAAAAAAAACCCCATAATATAATAATAAATCTTGGGTATTTTGCAATGGTTATCGTCATAATTGAGGCTGCCTATCATCTGGTAGTCTTTCACAGAATTACCTTAAACTTCCATTGAGTTCTCTAATGTTTAACACCCTGCATTAAACTCCTAAACATTTCTATTATGAAATCTTCCCTTTAGTAAGATGGATGCTACTCAAAGACACTCTCTTACTTTCTCAAACATTAACAGTGCAGATTTTCTACAACAACCTTGGCAATTCTGCCCAGCTGCTTTAGGTCCACTAATTAAACTGTAATTTATGAAAAGAGAATGATCTTTCTACATAGTCTCTTCTTGTCCAGATGACACTGACAGCGAGAAGTCTTAAACTTTCCAAGTGTGCAAATGTTCATTAATGAAGAAAAGTGAGCATCTCATATGGCGAATTACTTCTTCTTCTTTTTCTTTTCATCTGCTGCCATTTTTAACTTGACTTCTTCCACAGGAAGTGCTCCTAATTTCTTCTTCTTCGCATTCTTTACCTTTTCCTTGATGGCTTCAATATCAATTTTTTTCTCAGTGGAAGCTGCATAGTAAAAATCACAAAGATAACAGGCGTGAATTTTACTTTTTAACAGTCTGCTAGGTGACTTCATGTATGAACACGGTAAATTGCGTTATGTGGCATTGATTAATACTCATTTTATATTCACTAATGGTTTTGTAAAAAGTTCTAATAATTTTCCTCGAAACTAGTGTTATTCACAAACCTCTTCCAGAATTCAAAGGAGAACAGTCACATAAAAAATCCTACACAACTGCATTTGAACATAAATGCCACGTTTTGCACACATACAAACTACTATGACTCCTCAGACCACATATATACTCCAAAATTAATACATACACACACTCTTAGAAACAGGCCTATTGGCTTGGTTGGTCTCATATAAGAAGAGAATAAATTAATTATTGAGTTCTTACACCCAGAGAAGCTTTCATGGTATGTTGTCTTTCTGCAAGTAATGAAGGTGGCAAGATCCCAAACAAGCTTCTCTCATCCCGATACTATTTTTCTGGCCAGCTATCAACATCCACTGTTGAAAACAGGACAGGGAAGGGTGGGCTGGGAAAATATGATACAGATCTTCGACCTCTGTGTGAAGACCTCTGTAAAAAGACTTCTACAGGGAGCGCCGGAGTAAACACTCAATGCTGAGCAACATGAATAACCTACTCTTACGGTCACCTAGGCAATGGCATTTTCTCTCCTGGGCAGGAGTCATGAGCTTGGATCTATCTCTCCTATCTCACACAGTTACTTCCTACATTTAACAGTTGGGAGCAGCTGTTGTCTTTGGATCTTGGTTCTTGTCTATGTACAAACAACTGTCGTCACTTATTCTTGGAAGACTGAATGATTTCAGGTCAGAACACACAGCAGGTAGAAAAACACAGTATCTGAGATAGCCAACAGCGGGATCATTGGAAGTTTACTGGCATCATAAAAAAAGTACCATATTGATGCTGCAGAACGCAAACTTTTCAAGATACATGAACTTTTCAGTTCATAAGAAATCGTTTAATACATAGTGTAATAATATGTAGGCCGTATAGCTAATACAGAACATACGCAGTATATCTAACACAGTGAATATGTAGTACAATCAATTCATCCAGAAAACCAAAGACCTGCTTCTCTAGTGCATATAAAACAAACTAGCTGAGAGCACAGGTTCTTACTCTGCATGTGGTTTGCTTTAACTTTTGGAAAAGCTATTCACCCTATCTTTTATAAAAATACTTACTTATGGTCTAAGTTTTCAAATAGGTATTACTTTGGGGTTTGTTTCGCTTAAAAGAAAAGCTATTTGAGTGCAAAAGTTACAGTAGCTTCACTACAAGACCGAAAGCCACAAATTGATGTAGCCAGAACAACCACTTGGCCCAGTATCTCCATCAGGAAAATGATCTACAGAGAACTGTCATTTTATAGGTATAGAATTATGGGCTGCATGGTCTTTCTGCTGTGCCTAGCAACTCCAGGCATGAATCTAACTACTAGAATTTTTTTGCATGACCATTCTCATTTCCTACAGCTGTATCTCTGCAAAATCGCTCAGAACAGGAATCAACAACAGAAGGTTTTAGAACAGGGGGAAAAAAAAAAAAA